AATTAGTATATCAGAGTCTCAAATAATTTACTTTTCATAAGCATAAAAAAAATTCTGAATTAGTCTTTTTAAAGCCTTTCAATTTTGCTTAATTAGCTATATTTTATCAAATTTTGGAGCCTTTTTTAAATTCTGGGTAGAATCCACCCTTATGAAAAAAAATGACACAAATGTGACTTTATATCATTTTATTGACAATAAAAAACAAAATCATGCAATTTATAAATGTTTTATTCATTACAGTCACAACTGTATCCAGATCACATCAAAGGAATGACAGTTTCTCACTCCCTGGAATTCTACTTAATGGAGGGAGGTGTCATTAATTAAGATTGTCACAGCTTCCAAGACACTGGAGTGACAGACCTAAAATTTTATAAATATTCATTGGTAAGTATAAAGTCTTTGAAAATTACAAAATTGACAAATTCTGGGAGAGGTAAATATGTAAGTATAGGAATGAGAGTACCAAATCCCCGGATGAGCACATGGCGTTGTTTGTGGCACAATGTAGAGTCGAGTACTGAATAGGTCGGCATTACCTGATTGGCTGAAATGAGGTATGTAATGTTTTTCATTTTAAAGTAAAAATATTAATATTTGAAATAAATGATGGAATGCAGGAATATTACAGAGAATATAGAAATACCAGGGGAGATTGTAGGAGTGGGGGTTGATTTTTTTTGCAGAGCGTTATTTACTGCCGAAACCTATAAGTTTTAAAGAACTGCAATTTTGACCCATAAACGCCATGGGACCCTATATTTTTTCCGAAATTTTTTATAAGCGCTTGGATTAAAGTTTCAAACGATGCCAAGGAATTATCTGAAATTAAATTAGTATAGTAGTGAGAGGACAAAATGTTTGTATAGAGTTCTATGGGAAAATAATTGGTACTCTTTTCCCAAATTTCTCTGTGCAACATTCCCAGAATTCCTGCACTACCCAATGTCCTTTGCGCGAATATTGCCGAATAAATAAATAAATGATAACGTAAAGCATATATCAGACTTTCAGTTTGTAGAAATCTTTCAAAGAAACAAGAAATAACTCTGCAATGTTTTTCGACAAAAATTGCACTTGTTTTATAGTTTCAAACAGACGCTCGGCTGTCTCCGTAAGCTCCGACGAGCTTTGTGGCGTCGTATGACGTCACAGCTAGTCGAGATATCTCGTGCGGCTTGACGTTCGAAGTGGCTGATCTCAAGTGTTTTTGATGGTACAACTGCGCTCGCCCCAACGGTCACACCGTAAAACATATTAGAATGATGACTATAAATCACTTTAGGTAAAAAAAAATATAGTGATAAGAAACAATTGATTGGTTGTATTACAAAATCAAGGAGCTCTGGAGATCATGGCCTGGACCCAGCTTGGCGGAAACGCGGGAAGAGAGAGATCGATGGGTTCTCGAGCCCGATAAAAAAACGAATCCGGGATGTTTCGCACCAATTCTGTTTCGCACTCAGATGGTTCGCGCCTTGATGATTCGTGCCGATTTCGGTGCGAAACATCTCCCCTCTTTTTTTAATATTTCATTTATTTAGTAATAATTTAAGGTCATGTATTCATGGTATTAAATCTTAGATATAAATACGTGTTACATTCTCAAAATCATGACTTAATAATATGCGGTGACACAGGTAACAGATCGTAAATGTGGTGCCCGTTTGCTCAGCGTGTGTGTTCAACAATTGAATTGTGATTAGGCCCCTAGTTGGAGATCAAAAGGTGAGAATTATTTCATTACAGCAAATATAAAGTCGTACAGCAATTATCTGCGTTTAACTTGAAAACATATAATTTAAGTTGATAGGTTCCCCAAGCCGGCAATAATTACAGAATTACTTAATTAGATGGCGGTATGATAAGTACATGTAACTACTACAAACCTAATTATCAGAGCATACATTTACTGAAGTATGTTCGAGGAGCGAAACATCGCGGGGCGAAACATCTTAGCGCGAAACAGAATTGGCGCGAAACATCGCGGTGCGAACCATGCATGGGCGCGAAACAACCCCCCAAATACACTACGGGTGTATTCGATTAAGCGACACGGGTTACACGAGTCACTAGAGTTGTAAATAAAACAACCTATCTTCGACACGGGTGATCAACCCGTGTTACGCGAGTATACTCCTCAGTTTACCTGGAGTAACAGGTAAAAAGAATGGCGGGAAGTGAACATGGTGAAGTCGCATTGTTAATGCGAAAACTGTTTCTGCATAAATATGTCAGTGTTTGTATGAAAAATTTACAACGTCAATGAAAAAAGTCTGCAATATAATTTTGACACCCCCTTTTTATTTTTTAGTTTTAAGGTCAACCTCTTAAAATTACTGTTGCTTTATCACGGACAGTTTTTGATTTTTTTTTTAAAAGTTTATCCAGCTTTTTTTTAATCTGCCTATAATTATTGCCCGAACCTCTAGATCCCGTTTTACAAATGAACTTACGACTAAAACCAAAAACTTATGTTGATTATAAATTTTTGAAAATTAACTGTTATGGAAATTGTTACCATAAAACATTCTAAATTCTTATCAAGAAGAATAAAATCGCAAATAATTTCTGGACTTTGTGATATGCACCTAAATACCGGTCTTAAGGCCTCAGAATCACAATACATATTAACCCCCCCCCCCCCCAAAAAAGAAAAAAATGTGATATACTCAGTACTGCGCGGGGTATATCGATAAAATCGCATATCCCTTGTAATAAATTTATTTTTATTTATTGTTTATTTTAAATTCTAATTACTTGTTTGTTTATTTATTTTTGCTTGTCAAAAAATTATGAGACTTAACATCTGTGAGATTTGATTTCCCCCCCCCCCCCCCTTTGAAAAAAAGATATTGGGGGATGTCTGTGCTTACATTATCCCCTATAACTTTTTAAAAATTGATTAAGGTCCTCACTAACAAATTAATTCTCTACTAATTCATTCCTACTATAGCTATATATTTTTGTCCCTTCACAAAGCCGTACTAAGGAATTGGAAGGTTTAATTTTTTATTATTTCTGTTGACATGGGAACAGGAATCCATAGCAACTAATGAAATAATCACTGGTTTCAGTTTGCAGACGCATTCCTGCATGACTGTCAAAAAATTTCAGAATCATATTCCTGGCAAAACTATTTTTATGCATAAATAGAATGTCTATTCAAAAGGAGATTTATTCGCATTTTTGAACAAATATTGGGTTTTTTGATAATCGAAAAAAAGATGTTTGGACAAAATATATTTTTCTAGAGTTTTGATATATCAAAAGGCACATTATAAATAACAAAACTCCACTGGAATAACTTCTGTTGCAATTTGTTTGAAGTTTGGGTGTTTTTGAGTTAGATTGACTGGACTAACTGAAATTGCTCTCACATTTGATCCTGTAATTATCTTATAACTGAATTATTAATAATAATGATTTAACTTCATAAGGTAATTAACACGACATATCTATGCTGCGTTTGTTAAATCTATAAAAATAATTTTAGTGAATCAATATGCATCTATTAGACAATTTTGAAATCAAGGGGCCCGTTTTACAAAAGAACTTACACCTAAGACCAAAGTTAATTCTGCGATTTTATTCTTCTTGAAAAGATATAGAATGTTTTACAATGAAATCTTAGAAATATGGAGGTTGGGTCCCCAGAACCAACTGGTTCTTTGTTTACAATAAATGTTATAAGTATATAGAAATTACCTTTTGAGCCTTTAATTTCTATCGTAATAATTATTGAACATTTTGAAGCGTATATGTTTTTTAAAAAAAAAATAGTTGAAATATTGAACATTATTTTTACAGACTCAAAATTAAAATCCACAGCCATGTAAGACCATGAAAAACACATAAGCTCAAGTTTTCTTTCCAACCGACGTCACATTTTTTTGTAAAAGTATTTGTCTCTCACATCCTATGACTTACATATATAAATGAAAAATGTCAGCTATGGTACTTTTCTGACCAATTATTATACCCCTTGTAAAATGTTACGGGGGGGGGGGGGAGATAGAGAGAGAATACATGCACGTAGCAGCTGGTGGAAGTGCTCTCCACACTTTTTTTCCCCAAACATCTCATTACTTTTAAAAAATCTTCATTGAAAGACCACCAATAGCTTCATCCCCCTTTTTGTTACAGTAAAGCCAATCAAGGGTCAAGTCGTCTTGTTTGAATAAAATTTGGTACTGAAGGAAGTGGGACCTACATCCCCTTCCTCCAACTAAATAGGAGTTTCGTTTTTTTTTCTCTGGCTTGCCCCCCCCCCCTTTCAAACACGATGGCACGTCACTATTATATTTAATGCTACTGACATGTATGTAAGTAAAGACATTCTTATTCTACTTTTTTTATTTTAATAAGAGGAGGTATTGACTTGATAAATAATATTGCAAGGATAAATTATCTATAAAATACATGTTATATCTGTAAAAAATACATTTTGTTGAACAATCAATTCAGCTTTGAGGTCTTGTATTTAATTATCTGCTATTCTTTATTTGATAATTGGATATTGTTTGTTAATCAGTTGTTTGTCCTGTTAAGACCAAAAATACAGGGAATATACTGTTTTCCCCGCCATATTTATACAAACACTAAACGACACGAGATGTTTTATTTAGATCACTAGAGTTCAGTCAGTGAGCATGCGCATATTTAACACTAGTGCGACACGGGTTGTCTTAATCGAATACACTCTACAAGTACTAGATTTACCGCTTGTCGAGAAATTACGCATGCGCACTGTGATACGATATATACTCTTCATAACATACAGGTCTAGTCGAAAGGCCTTTAATTTTTTTATAAAGTCTAGAAAAGTCTTCAAAGGAAAACAATGTCAGAACAATATCTTCAGGTCTCAGAAAGTGAAGGTTACGAGCCAGTAGAAATCCCAAGCGAAGATGACGGAACCCTTTTGCTGTCAACATTATCGGCACAATTTCCAGGAGCATGTGGTCTGAAGTACAGGAATCCACAGTCTGGTAATTTCAGAGGCGTCAGGCTTAATGAAGGTCTATTGTATCCTCCGGAAGGATCATGGGGAGATGTTGTTTACGTGGTGGTATTCCCTAAAATACCCAGCGCCCCACCGGAACAAGAGGATAATCAGATTCACTACATACCTAGTATTTGTGGTGAGTATACAGGTGTCTTAGACAGGTCCTGTACAATCAGTACATAGGTAGAATTGCCTACCTTAGCTTTATTTACCTACCTCAGGTATAAAGCACTTTTAAGTACAGTGAGGTTGCCAATAACGAATCGCACCCGTTAACGAATCACTTAAAGATGAAAATTCTGTATTTTTCTTATCAAAGTCCAATACTTAGCTTAACCTACCCTGTCATGCTAAATTATTCTTGCTTTTATCATTTATCATGAAATTATTAAATTCAACTCGTTCAATGTCCTAATTTTTAAATAAACATGAACAAGCTTTTTTGTGATGCAGACCAGAAGCGTACATGCAAGCAGACTACTTTCACTTTTCAGTACCGCTCCAATGTGAATCGTACATTCTAGGTAAACAAATTTGGTGCAGATGTTTAATAAAATTATGTGTCTAAAAGCACTGAAAGCATCGAAACAATTTCTAAATCAGAAATTAATAGTATTCGCTTTAAAGTTGGGGGTATTTAGGTTTCCAATAACGAATCACTGTTTCAAGAAATTATATATGACATGCAGGGATCCTGTCCAAATTATAATTTTTCGTATGCGGTTTTTTGCACACCAGTTACAATAAAAAAAACAACAGAAGATGTCTACCAAAAGCGTACAATAAAAGTGGTTAAAATTAGGGCTGTGTATTGAGCCAAAAATTTCAATACGATACGATACAATATTTTTTAAAGCGATATGCGATATATTGGATCTAAAACAAGTCCATCAGAAAAGGCTTCTAAATCATTTTAATGCTTAAATTTCATAACAATTAAGTGTTTTATTACCCATTTTAAAGTTCTTTTCTCATTGTCATAACAAATAACACTTCATATTAAACTTTTAATAACAATAAAATCAACATGTTCAAATAAAAATTCTCTTTGTATTTTGTAATAATTAGAAAAATTGTTTTGTTATTTCCTTACAAATTATATAATTATTGACCAGATTTAATTCAAAAAAGTGAAATATTATCTTTGGTGATTGAAATTCCCATCTTTTTAATAGAATTAGAAGAAAAACTGTCTGTCCGATACGTATTGGAAGTTATTTTTCGATACGATATTTTTCTTGAATATCGATACGTATCGATATATTGATACAGCCCTAGTTAAAATACACATAAACAAAATCAACAGCCAAAATCAGTAAGAAGTGCAGAGCATGTGGATTCGAGAATGTCCCCCGGTGGTATATCAGCATGTAAGCTAATGTGAAGACATCGACGATAGCGAAATAAAAATCGTCATGATTACCAAACAAAATTAAGATTTAGAAATTTTATTTATTTATCCCTTTGCAATTTAAACTTCCCTACTAAATCATTATTTCCAACAATACCCCGTTTGCAGTTTTCCTTTTCCCTAAAAAATTATTTCAAATAATCAATTTTTAGGTCACCTGAGTAAACTCAGGTGACCTATTGCTATCTGTTTTCGTCCGTCGTCGTGCGTCGTCCGTTAACATTTGAACATTTTCAGCTTCTTCTCTGCAACCACTGAACCAATTTCAACCAAATTTGGCACAAAGCATCTATGGGTGAAGGGGAACAAAAATTGTGAATTTCATGGTCCCTGCCCCCCTGGGGCCTGGGGGGGGGTGGGGCAAAAACCACTAAAATTAATGCAATCTTTAAAAATCTTCTTCTTTACTCCTGGACATCAAGCAGTTAAACTGTTTGCATGATTGTTATCAGCATTGAGTCCTCTACCAAAATTGTGAAATTTATGGCCCCAGGGTCAGGGGTTCTAGTGCTAGGGTGGGGCTAAATAAGTATATAGTGAAAATGCATTATTTCTTTGAAAATCTTCTTCTCTGCTCCTGGGTATTAAATAAACTAACTAAGTGCATAGTTATGATGAGCAAGAGTGCCTCTACCAAAATTGTGAATTTTATGGCCCCAGGGTCAGGGGTTCTAGTGTTAGGGCGGGGCTCTATAGATTATATAGTAAAAATTCATGAATTCTTGGGATCCGGGTTAGAATAGGTCCTCAGTACCCCCTTGCTTGTCGTAAAAGGCGACTAAATGGGGCGGTCCTTCGGATGAGACCGTATAAACCGAGGCCCCGTGTCACAGCAGGTGTGGCACGATAAAGATCCCTCCCTGCTCAATGGCCCTGAGTGCCGAGCATAGGCCCAAATTTGCAGCCCTTCACCGGCAATGGTGACGTCTCCATATCAGTGAAATATTCTGGAGAGGGACGTTAAACAGTATACAATCAATCAATCAATCAATCTCTGCTCCTGAGTATTAAATAAACTAACTAAGTGCATAGTTATGATGAGCAAGAGTGCCTCTACCAAAATTGTGAAATTTATGGCCCCGGGGTCAGGGGTTCTAGTGCTAGGGTGGGGCTAAATAATTATATAGTGAAAATGCATTATTTCTTTGAAAATCTTCTTCACTGCTCCTGGGTATTAAATAAACTAACTAAGTGCATAGTTATGATGAGCAAGAGTGCCTCTACCAAAATTGTGAATTTTATGGCCCCAGGGTCAGGGGTTCTAGTGTTAGGGCGGGGCTCTATAGATTATATAGTGAAAATTCATGAATTCTTTGAAAATCTTCTTCTCTGCTCCTGAGTGTTAAATAAACTAACTAAGTGCATAGTTATGATGAGCAAGAGTGCCTCTACCAAAATTGTGAATTTTATGGCCCTAGGGTCAGGGGTTCTAGTGTTAGGGCGGGGCTCTATAGATTATATAGTGAAAATTCATGAATTCTTTGAAAATCTTCTTCTCTGCTCCTGAGTGTTAAATAAACTAACTAAGTGCATAGTTATGATGTGCAAGAGTGCCTCTACCAAAAATGTGAAATTTATGGCCTCAGGGTCAGGGGTTCTAGTGTTAGGATGGGGCTCTATTGATTATATAATGGAAATACATGAATTCTTTGAAAAAATTTCTTTTCTGCTCCTAGGAATTAAATAAACTAAGTACATAGTTATGATGAGCAAGAATACCTCTTCCAAAATTTTGATTTTATGGCCCTAGGGTCAGGGGTTCTAGTGATAGGGTGGGACTCTATTGATTATATAGTGAAAATACATTAAATCTTTGAAAATTTTCTTCTCTGCTCTTGGGTATTAAGCAGATGAACTACCTATGTAGTTATGATGAGCAAGGACCCTAATCTTCCAGAATTGTGAATTTCAAGGCCCCAGGGTCTGGGGTACCATAGGGGGGATGTACTTATAAACTGAAACTGGATGAATTGTTTGAGATCTGCTCCTTGGTATTAATCAAATATTTTTCAAAAGCAAGGGTGCCTTTTCAAAAATTGTGCAATGTGTGGATCTAGGCCCAAGGGTCAGGGGTTCATGTGTGATAGGAGCATTACTGATTATTGCTGAATATTACTGATTACTTGAAATTAGGGCTGTCACGGTTCCAAAATTTTTCGGGTCGGGTCGGCTCTGATTTTTTGAGGTTCGGTTTCGGGTTTTTCGGGTCGGGTAGGTAATGGAAGAAAAGCTCATGATTTGGATTATTTTCAACAATAAAAAGAATATTCTCATTTAATCTTAGAAATTGCAACATTATAACTAGTTTAAAGTAGCCTCCTGACTAGACAACAACTGTACCAAATTATTTAAATCACCTTTCAGGGTTTCAGATTGAAATAAGTAACTACAGGACATCTGGCATATTTACCAGAAAAGTTATAGGCCATTCTGTCCTAAACTTCCTAAAATTATAGGCCAATAGAAAACTTAAACTAACTCAGATTTCTGTCAGACTTTTACAAAATAGTCATTATATTACATAAAATATTCAAACTTGTATATTAATTTGTCATTTAATAAGGTGGAAATATTATTTTGTTTCTTTTATACAAAATTCATATATTGAAACAGAATGGGAATTGTTTTTTTTTAATTCCATTCAATGGGTATCTAACTGACATTAGTCCCACCTTTCATTACATGTAAATGTATCTATTTCTTGGGATTACAATTTTTAAAAATAGTAATCCAAAAATTAGACTTGTATCTCTGATGATATTCAATGTATAATTACGTTTAAAGATTACCTAGACTATTTTTTTTCCCTTAGTAAAACCTTGCAACATTGTCCGTTTCCTGCTATTAGTCCGACCCCATATTCAATCATGGCGGTAAAAGTAACAACATGGCATGGATTCCTTCGATGTTTTAAACATTCATCACTACTTTATGCTCCTTGCAGTTGGGTTTGGAAATAAAATTATAGAGTATTTTGTCAAGATCTATTTATACCAATATGTCATTGGCTGATTGAATCGGCAGTTGCAGAAAGTAGAGAAAAACAATCGGATCTGAATGGAGGAAAAATTATGCGACTGTCCTTTACATACAGAAGATAATCGGCCATTGTGTCTGTTCAATGTCAAACTTACAGGCCAACATGGCAGGTAAACTTTTATTGGCAAATGGCCGACGCCAATCTGAAACCCTGCCTTTTAATGACAATTAACTAACAAAACTCGTTTTTGACGCCATTTTATAGTAAAATCTACTCTATTATACAAATCGGAACCGAACCGAATTCCAGAAAAACGGAACCGTACCCGACCCGAATTAATTGTTCCGCGGTTCCGGGTCATTTCGGGTACCCGTGACAGCCCTACTTGAAATGCATTTTTTGTCCCCCCACCCTGCCTATGGGTATTAAGTAAACAAACTAAGCAACTGCTAAGTGTATTGTTATAATGATAAAATGGTACCTCTTTCAAAATTGTGAATGCCATAGCATCTTGCTTAAAACATTAATCAAATTAAATCTCTGGAAAGTTGTTGCATAATGCTCAGGTGACCTATAAGGCCCATGGGCCTCTTGTTATTTCTTGTCATGATCAAGATCAAGCTCGTATAATATAAAATGCATATTGCTAACAATACTTTTTCAATTCAACATCAAGCTAAATAAATTATAAACAGAGTTTTAAGATACCCCCCCTCCCCCCCCCCCTCTTTTTCAACATATACTA